CCCAAAACCCCAAAACCCCAAAACCCCAAAGTATCAAATCTTTATTGTCTTGATAGAATATAGGTTTTTATTTATTAATCTTTAATTTTAATTATCTATTCTAAGGTTACTCACTGCTATTAACAGTGAGACTCTTATTAACATTGATAAACTTTTAAAACATTTAAACAGATGGATCAAAATCTTAAAAATGATATCTTCGGCACTATTCCCAATTAGAAACGTATAGTTTTCTTGGGTGCAACAAAAAACTTTTTTAAAATAGGCTATTACACGATTCATTATTTATCTCAAAATTATCCAGAGATAAAGCTAAGGCTTGCCGTTCCAAATATTGAGGATGCCAGACCATCTTGCGAAGGAGCTAATGTTGAATTAGTACAATGGGATCCAAATAATAGTGAAACCTTGAATGAGGCCTTTAAAGAATGCACTGCTTCTCTACTAGTTCCTCCAATTAATAATCGCGTAAGTGTGAGCAAAAAGTATATTGATATGGCAGTGAAGCACAAATTAAATTTCCTGATTAATTCAGGAGTGCAGTTCACTAATTAAGACATCCAAATTGGTGAAGAATCAAACCAAGTAATAGCTATGTTGGATAATTGTGGGATAAAGTACTGCAATCTCAATCTACCAATGTTTTTAGAGAATCTGCTTTACTAAGTAGATGATGTTTTTGAAAAAGGAATTTTTGGATTTCCATGCAATAAAAATTCATCTTTTTCCTACGTTTCTTGCAAAGATCTTGGAAAAATTATTGCAGATATTTTTGTGCAAGAAAAGGTTTACGATAATACATTTTGGACTGCACCAGCACAAGTGAGCATTGTACAAATAGAATAAACTTTCACTAAAATGATGGGAAAGTAGATTTAATTTGTCTAAGTCTCAGATCAAGATTTTATTGACAGTTTGCTAAGGGACACAGGATCCGCTTCTTCAATAGAAGCTGCAAATTAAATCCTTGATATTTGGAAAATAATTGAAAGAGGTGAAGACGTTCAAGCAAATAATAATTTGAAGATTTTACTAGGAAAAGAACCCTAGACAGCCTCAGAGTGGGTTTTTGAACATAGATGCTGCTTCAACAAAGAAAGATCATGCATGCACCCTTAACCTCCCAAAAAGATCAAAATATAAAGTCCTACTTAAAATCAAGAGTTGCAAGTGATTAACATTGACGAAGCGAACAATACATTTGATAAGCAAAATAATTTATAGATACCTACTAGTGATATGAAGAGATTATCTAACTTTAGATATCGTTTATGATTGAAGGTAGAGAATTTTACTTAAAGTAAAGATAATATTTAAATTGATAATTGAAAGAAGTATCTACTTTCTAAATTCATAAACTATTATTATTCATAAATCCAATTTAATTATCATATTTTATCTATTTATTATAAATATAACACTAACTCCATCATGATGGGGTTTTGGGGTTTTGGGGTTTTGGGGTTTTGGGG